GGGCCGGGCCGCCCCGGGGCCGGGGGCTGCAGCCGCCCCCTCCTCTCCGGCCGCCTCGTTCGCAGACGTTTCCCTGTCGGGGTTAAAATAGGTTTGGTTTTGGTACCTCGGCCCTGTCCCCCTGGGCATGTGCGAGGAGTCTCGTCCTCGTTCTCCAAGCTGGAAAGAAAGGTGAAGGGTTTACGGTTTTTTGAAGAAAGAAAAGCGTGTGGCCTTGTATAATTTTAGCTCGGTTTCGCAGTCTGTAGTGGTCAATGTGTAAGTGTTTAGTAGAAATTGGTAGGGGGGGGCAGCTGCTCCCCTGAGGTTATGTAACCCCCCGGGGAGGACCGTGTGTGAGGAGAAGCACCTCACTGGGAACCCGGCCGTTCTTCACAGGAGATACGCTCCTAAAGCTTATGTTTTTCATTGCAACGAAACAATTTTAAGAATACTGTTTATAGGACACGATTTCTGTGTTCTTGGACAGAACACACAGTCCCTTTACTTCACCTTCTCTCTCAAAACCTGGAGAAAACGTGTCATGTGCAGAGCGCGCCGTTACCGTCCGGCCTCAGTGCCCGGCCCCGGAGTGTCGTCCCTCGTCCCGCCACGGCTGAAGTCACCGAGGGACTGAAGTTGTTAACTGGGGTCCCAGCAGCTCCCACTCCAACAGCCTCCAGTCAGGTGGCAGAGTCAGGAGGCCAACGCTCTCCTACACACTTGTACCCATCAAGGTCAGGCTGTCAGGAGCAGGGAAGGTGAGGCTGACAGTAAACTATTTAGTCTTGGCATCTCTATCTCTTTTTAGACAGATTTCGGAGTAAAGAGAAGGCTGGTTTTCCCATGTTGGACACCAAAAACAGTTTTGGTAAGAGCTTAGGGTCTGCAATTAATTATTGCATCCTTCCTCTGTGATGATCTGTCTATTGAAGTACCAAGTCCCAGTACGCCCTACTCTACCTTGGCAACATGAACAGCTCCTGGATGCTCCTGTGAAGCCAATGCAGCTAGTTTTATTCTGGCTGTGCATTTTTTTTTTTAGGTTATTATGTATCAGGACTAATATGTGTCTTGAGAATACTAGTGCTTTAGGCTGTAGCTAAGTTTTAATTATTTTTTTCCCTGACTTTTTAGGGCTTTAAAACTTTTCTGGTAAATTTAAGTCTAATGCTAACTGGATTTGTTCTTATTTATTTTGAATCCCTTAGAAGTAGCCCACAGGCTCCCAGCTTGCTGATGGGCAAGTACTTCTTTTTTTCCCAGGTGTTTTAATATGTTGTAAAGCAGGCTTTGTAATACCGCAAATTAGTGTAGCTCTGGTGTATGACCCATGTGGATCAGCTGACCTCATTGTTCATGATAAAATTACATCATGTTGTTATGTCAAACATACAGGTTCTGCAGCAGTGTGGGATGCTTTTTCTGTCTTGCTAAGGAAATAATATCCTGGGAGATGATGCATCAGTGTGGCATGTTTAGCACCTGGTTACAGGAATCTATGTTTTGGGGAGGGACTGTCCTGTCACATTTGGGTTAATACAGTGGTTTCAATAGAGACCATGAAGCTGAAGGGCAGAGTGAAATGTTACTGACACCATGTTATGGGGATAAGTGAAAACTATAGCTATTTATCCTTGGCTAACATTAAAACATTGTTAGCAAGTGTCTGCTTATATCATTATGTGATTTCTAGACAAGAAATTTGTTATTTGTGGACTCCTTTTCTAAATAAAGAGATAATGTCTATATAATGTCTACTCAGTAGACACCCAAAATTATTTCTTAAAACTCTTAATAATCACTTCCTGGAATTGAATCACCCTAAATGATGCAGTAGCTTGTAAGCTAATGAAGTAATTCAGTATTCAGCATGTATCTGATGAAGACCAGACAAAAGGTCAGAGGGCCAAATGAAGACATCCCAGCTGTGGCATTTACATCCCAGGAATGAGTAGGTTGCACAAAGACCTGCCAGACCTGGTTCTTCCCAAGGGACCGAGCCTGTTGGTGTGAGAACTCTGCCCCAATCCTGCCCTGGCTTGGGCCTGTGATCCTGTCTAACAGCAGGGTGTGGTGTTGCCATGCCATCTTCAAGTACTTCTCTAAACATGCTTAATTACAGACTTTGAACAGGAATAGTTCTTGTACAATTGGATGGATCCTTTTCAGATTTATTAGAGACATTAAATGAAATATGATACATTAAACATATGAAAAATCCTGGTTGAACCTTCTCCCTGTGTTGGCCAGTTATAA